TTACGGATACTCGGGACCGGTGTCTTCATGCTCGCGGCTCTGGTCTGCTGGTACATCGTGGACACCAAGACTGCGGGCGTCATTGTCTTCTACTTCATCTTCATCCACGCCGGTCCATACATTATCGTCAAGTATCCCACACTCACCACCCTGGGCATGATTGGACCGATAACGATGACTTTGATCATAGGTACGCAGTATTGACCTAGCATCACCGCTTCTTGCTGACATCAATAGGGTACGCGCTACAGGTTCGCAAGGTAGGCATCGAAGCAGCGATCTCGAACGGTCAAGCCTACCACCCCGTCTACGTGCTCGGCCCGCTCCGATTGGCGACTGTATCAGGTGGACTGTTCCTCGGCTGGCTCTGGACAGTCTTCCCCTGGCCCATTAGCGAGCACTCGGAGCAACGCAAGAATCTTGGCTCAGCGCTGTATCTCCTGGCGAACTACTACTCAGTCATGCACGAGACAGTACGCGCCCGACTTCGCGGCCTCGATGATGACTCTACTATCAAAGGCTCTGTCTCTCAGCGTCTCGATAAGGCTCGCCGCACTCTTTATGGCAAGTGCAATCTGGTGCTTTCAGGCATGCGCCTGAGGTCCGCGGTGATCAAGTATGATGTCCCCATCGGCGGCAGGTTCCCGAGCCAGCAATTTCAAGACATCATAGAGTCCATGCAAAGTACTCTCAACTTCATGGTCCTCGTGAGCTTTGCATCTACGTCCTTCACCGAGCTGCAAAACTCGGAACCGTCCACCAGCAGCTCTGAATGGCTACACACTTTCCGCAGACTGATTGGGGAGACGAATATCACGAGCCAGTCCATCACGACTCTGCTCTCGCTGATGTCCGCATCTGTGACGAATGGCCAGGCGCTCCCTCCATACTTGCGCGTCCCTGAGCCTTTCCAGTACAGCCAACGCCTCGACGAGATGGACGCAGACCTGCTCAGCGTACGACATATTGCCGAGCCGGGTTATGCAAGCTTTGCTGTGGTGCAGATCGGCACAAAGTGCATCATTGATGATTTGAAGAAGCTGCTGGCACAGGTCAAGGATCTGGTGGGAGAGCTGGACTTCTCGTATCATGTCATCTCGACCAAAGACGGTGCTGCGAATGAGAGCGAGGAGACGTTGACTTACACAAAAAGTAATTTGCCGGCTGGTCACGGCCAGGGCGGTGCTGCCCAGACTTGATCGATGACGTTCAGTACGCTGTGGGCACTCTGGAGCACAGCCGACTACAGCCAGGGCCATTCAGCACATGTTGTGCTTCGAACACCCAGGGCGATTGGTCGGAGCGCACGCGATGTCTCAGCAATCTTTAATCGATACAACAGCGTCTACCTGGAATCTGGCATGTGAATGACGGTATGTCGATAAGTACCGCTGCTACTCAAGACCACTTCGGTCACGATCTAGGCTAAATTCCAGACCCTCTCCACTAAACCTCACATGATCCGCTACAGGTCGCCTTCCACGCTCTCCACGACATCCTCCTCCACCTTGTGCGCCACCACGATCTCGTCGCCCATCGAGGTATCCTCGCTTTCGCCGACATTCTTCATACTGTCACGACTCTGCAGCTGTGCTCCATCGAGGACTTTCTGCACCACCTCAGTCATGTGCGCTCGCAACTCGTCGACACTCATCTTGATGACCACAGCCTTCGGCGCGGAGGTACTACCCATCATACTCTGTGGTTGACATGTCATGACCGCAGCAGGCGCTGGCGTAGACATGATGAGCATCGGGTCCATCGCCTCGGGTGTAGGCGTACAGACCCGCGAAGGTCCAAAGTGAGGGGACTCGTGAACCGGCTCGAACGGGAAATGCGGCATGGGAGGTGAAGGTGTATGCTGCATGGGCACGCTGGTCGGTGCAGCGCCGTAAGGCTGTGTGTGCGATCGACGGAGGTGGTAGCGGCTCGAAGCTGGTGGCGATTGCAGCTGGGTGCGGATATGGGACTGAGGGCGGCTGCTTGGCTTCATCCGCTTTGCTGAATGGTGGTACGAGGACTTCGGCGCTGGGGTGCCGAGCTTATGGCCATCGCGGTGAAAGAATACTCCACCATCGGGATCCTGCGGGTGGCGATGCAGTATGCCGCCGTCAGGTGGCTCGGACACGGAGCGCCGGTGAGAGTTGCTGTATTGGTGTTTCAATAGCGAGGGAATGAAGGGTGCTGGGCTGTTCTCGATGGACTGAAAGTAGGGCGAATCTGTACTTGAGCCGAAGTCTGGGTAGAAGCTCAGCGATGAGTCGGGTGTGAATGTCTGATCGAGGCCGAAGAGGTCGGTGTTCGAGCTGCCGAAGTCGAAAGGATCACGGCTGTCATTGTCGAGGCTGTTGCTGAAGTCGTTATTGAAATCATGGATGGCAGTCAGATCGGTGCTGCGCCGATTACTATTCTTGTCGAATGTTGTGTCGAGCCCGGAGTCTGAGTAAGGCGACTTCGCCACATCGCAGGACATACTTGAGGGTGATGCTGAGAGAGCAACGTTGCACGGCAGGAAGCTGTGTCACCAGTTCGCAGCAGATCGCAGTATATGTGCGTGAACATGCGTTCGCAGGAGCGTTCGCATGAGCTTGCATGGGTCTTGCCCCTGTTTCTTTATTGATTTAAGCGGCTGTCGATGAGTGAGACATACGTCGGAATCTTCCCTTCGGGCGGGTCGAATTGGTATCATCAAGTGAAGCTTATCAGAAGTGACCATCGCACTGCTCTAACAAACAGCACTGCTCTCGCTCGCGAACCCAAGTCTGCGAGCGCTGAAGCATGTGCCCACGGCCGTCATTGGGCGGATCAGTGTGACTGACCGCCTGTCGCGCAGTCCCTCGTCCACGGTAGATAGTAGATGTCTCAAGTGCACCGGGTAGCAGCATCGAGCCTGCAACATGCTCGTCTGCAAGACATCCACAAGTTCGCGCAGCTTCCCGCTGCAGGGCGATGCAAGTCTCGCTACCTGCATCGAGAGGCAAGTCTCGCCTGCTGTGTCAGACATGCATGGTACCGATTCCAGTGTACTGGATCTAGCATTCCAGGGACTTCCGCAACAGGCCGTGCTCTCATTCTCAGTCATCGTCATCATCTCTCTTCTTCCCCCAGTTCACCACCTCGTAGATCTGGTCCATAATCATGTCCCCAAACCCCTTCCCAACATCCAACGCCTCCTGCACGTCCTTATCTCTCTCAGCCACCCAATCCTTCGAGTCTCTCGCGGCCTGAACCTCAGCCGTGACACTTAAACTCTTCTCCGCTTTCACTGTCCGCAAAGCCTCCTGAGTATGCTGTCTCACTACATTTGGTACAGCAGATGGTGTCTCGTCTATTTGCGGCGCTGAGTGGACGCCTACATGTGTTCCGCGGCCAGAGAGGTGCTGCAATATTGAGCGATTCGTTGACTCCCGAACAAGATAGTTGACCGAGTATACTGAGGTCCCACCCAATGTAAGGGTGAAGAGGTCGAGCTTCCTGGGCGGTAGTAGAGCCAGTAGAGGGCAAGCTATAGCGGTGACCAGGGCAACATTGTGCAACGTTCGGGCATAGTCCGCTGCTGCTGGTGGCGGAGCATTGGGTGGAGGAGCTTGGGGTGTCGACATCGGGTGTTGTGAAGGGTTCCCCTTAGAATTGATGGCTATGAAGCTGTCTTGGCGAGAGAAGGTTGCTGGACCTCAAGTCGAAGATTTGTGAGGGACTAGAGCTCACGATCTCGCCGGGCATTGACGACATAGAAGACGTCCACACGGCTTGGCAACTCGGTGTAAATTCAGGAGTATATATATTTTGCTCTATCCCTCGGCTTTACCCGTATGGGTTAGGCAATGTAGCAAAGTGGTTACTGCGATTGACTCGAATGTCCTGTACACGATATCAATTCCCTTCGGGGGCGTAGGTTCGAATCCTGCCATTGTCGCCATCGTTTTGCCGATCATGAGCACGTCGAGGTTGTCACTCAGTGCCGCCAACGTGCAGAGTGGTTCTGCGTACTTAGGCGACAGCGTGTTGCTCGAGGCTGTCAAATACTTCACCTCTGAGACCTCAGGCCAACCCAGGCTTTTGGAGCGTACATTGAACAACAGAGACGTACATTTGCGTGCGACGAGAAGCTGAGGCAAGACGATGAGAGTGTAAATGCGGTCTGGCGTTATCAATCATAACAATCGTACACATACTCATAACGATGACTAAGGACTGCCGCCGCCCTCCGTGGCCTCTTCAAAGACCTCCTCGTCCTCGTCCCCCGTCTCATTACTCCGCTCATCGCTCAGCTGACTGACATAGCTCGGCTGCGTGCCCAATCGCGGTCTCACAGCCAGCAGCCCATTGTCGCCACTCACACTTCCAGATCTCGAAACGACAATATCGTCAGGTACGTCAACTTCCGAGTGGACGTTCTTCGCCCGCGCAACCTGCGCTTGCCAGCGCGTTGTGTCCCAGAAGAGGTCACTACGAGCGCCGGCGCCGAGTAAGAGCGGGTTGTCACGCGGCTTATCCCGCTTTGGCGAAGCTGGCTGCTGCACAGCAGACTTCACTGCCGCGGCCGCACGCTCACCGACATCGAGGCTCGTTGGCGCGGTACTCGGAGTGCTCGTCGGCTGTGAAGCTGAGATGAGCGTCATGGCCAAGTTTGGCGTGCTCCGCGATGAGTCTTGTCCCATACTCCTCCGCGGGGATGTGTTTCGACTTGTGCGCTTGCTGCTGTTCTTAGCTTCGCCAGTGACGGAAGTCGAGCTGCCCACGCCTTGTCGCCAGCTCAGTATGCGATCGGAAGAAGCCACTTGCGAAGATGATGACTTCCGTCCGCCAGCGTTAGCCAGGCTGGCCTCACTGCCTCGGGTAGTGAGGGAGCCAGCTTTGCTGGACTGTGCGCCTGAGACATTGCGTCTGCTGCCGAAGATCGAAGCACGGTCTGATTCCTCGGGTTTGCGCTTCTGCCATGCGCAGTCTTGGCGAAAGACGCGGATCCTCCCTGTGAAGTCTGCAGTGACGATGATGTTGCCTTGTTCGTGGGTAGCTTTAGTCAAGTAACTTGCGCTCTCCTTCGGCTTCACGAAGCCGCTCTCATCGTGTGCATGCATAGGCGACGAGTCGCCTGTGGCAGTAGCCGGACGTGATGATGCTTGACTGCCATTTGTTCCTGCCGAGTTGAGCATGGTGGATGGAGGCGGATTGCAGAGGTCGTAGATCGGGTCGTCGCTCTTCCCAAGTAGACACCGAGTCTTAGTCGGTGCCATGCAGACAGCGGTCGTCATCTGCTCATTCGCTTCGAAGTACTCCATCGGTCGCTTCTCGCGTGTCTCGCCATCTGACGATTCCGTAGACCAAACAAAGGCTTTGCCGTCTTCACTGCCGCAAACCACGTAGCGGCCATTGTCACTGAGCTGAGCGCGGATTTGAGTGGAGTCGTTGACGTTGCCCTTGAACTTGAACTCCAACGACTTGTCGCGCATGTTGTACAGCCGCGAGCGGGAGTCGTTGCTTGTGATGAGAAGCTTGACATCTCCATTTGCAGCGGGCGAAGCTTGGATACCGGTGATCTTCATGCCACTTGGAGTCGTGCCTCGCGAGGGTCTTACTTGCAGTTGCGTTTGATACTTTAGGCCTTCAGTTTCATAGAACATGCACAGTCCATTCCGGCACCCAGCCATAACTGACTTGCCATCTGGCGTGAAAGTCACTGCGGTGATCATGTCTGGGACTTGAGTCGAGAACGCTACACTCTTGTCCGGTATTGACCAGACTCGCAGTCGGCAGTCCAGCGAGCCAGCCAAGAAGAATCGGTCGTCGCGTGGGTGGAAAGCTACAGAGGGTACAATGTCGTTGTGCTTGAATGTACAGAGACACTCTTGTCGTGACACATGCCATAGTCGTACACTTTTGTCCATTGCCGAGGATAGCAGGAAGTTGTTCTTGCTCCAGCTGAGGTCGAACACTGTGGCAGTGTGTCCCTCAAACTCTCTTATGGGCTTGCTAACGAATACTGGAGCTTTGAGGTGCTCCCACGTCTTGCGCTCCTGCGTGGGTTCCTCTGCTTCTTGCGCCTCGTGCTTCTGCCGATCCTCGGGGCTAGCCAGCACTTTCCACACTCTAATGATTGTGTCTGCGCCAGCAGCTGCGATGTACTTCCCGTCTTTGCTGAACTCCATGGCCCATACGGTGTCTTGCGGAGACATCAGGAGGCCCTTTCGTCGCAACTTGTTGCTGTCAGTCCGTATGAGCTTTCTCTTCCTACTGCAGCTAAGCTCCTGCGCCAGGAAGAGTCGATTGAACTCAGGCTTGGGCTTGTTCCTCGCGCGCATCTTGATGTACGCGGGCAGCTGCGGCTGCCGAATGTTGTAGCTCAAGTTGTCCGTAGACTGCGCAAAAACACTTGCCATCGCACCCTCGGGTCGCGTGCTGCCAGCTTGCGACGCCGCATCGTGTGGGGCGACCTCTTCCGCGATCGCGTCCTTCTTCTTAGTTCCAATCAGTCGACTGAGAAAGGAAACGGCTTTGACGCCCTTCTTCAGATCTCGGTGCGCAAGCGATGCGGTATCTCGCCTCTCTTGCGAAGATTGTGCGGTAGAAATGAACAATTGACTGCGCCCATCGTCGGTGATCGATGCACCGTCCGAGGTCATCGAAGGTGCGATCGAAGGCGCCGGTGCCGCGCCATGCGCTCGTTCGAGGATTTGCTGTGTCCAGTGTCAGCTGCTGCATCTCTGGCTGACGATTAAGCACTCCATATCACCTGCGACAACGGATCGACACTCGTCTCCTCCTTCTCCCCAGTCCCATCATGTCTTGCAGGACTTAGTCTCCTCGGGATGATCGCCTCAGGCTTTACGCCGTTCTCTGTCATCCCTTGCCTCGCACTTGTACTCCACCGCCTGCCTGCCCTCATGCTCGGTCAGCTCTCTGCTCCGCTACACCTACTCGAAAAACCATGAAGGCGTACCTACCACTTATACTTCCTCCCTCCATGCCTCTGCGCTCCACACTCCGGACCCTCTCGGTAGCTATCACATCCGCGCCTCTCTCCCACGTGCCCGTGCGATTAAGCTCAAAGCTTGCAGTGTTCCTGATTGAAGTCTTTGTCAATCTCGCGGGGCTCTTGGAGGGGCTGTTCGGACTCAGAACAGGCGCGGGCTCGGTTGCGAGATTCTGAGGGTTCGTGAGGGTAATGCTGGGCAAGGACATGGTCCGGGAAGGAATATGTGCCGCTCGCGCGCCATGGGCGATCGATCAATGGGATTCGTAAGATGCGCGCCGCAGTATAGCGTATGCACAATGAGGTCGACTTCGGCAGTCCGCGGACGGATGTTTCGGGAATCCGGCGTGAGAGAGAAAGGCAGGATCCAAATGAGTGAAGGACTGAGGATGAAAGGGCAAGATTGGAAGATTACATTGCCTTGCTGTTGTGTGTCTTGCTCACCCACGCGTCCCCACCTGGCATTGCCATGCATGTAAGCAGGATCTCGCATCGCTCCGGTCAAGATGCGAGACATCTTAGACTTCACGTCATGCATGTAACCGTGCACGCGCGCAGGACCTACCACGCGACTGCAGTGAGGTGCATCAATTGAACAGTGGATCTTCACGCAGGCTTGAGGTGTGGAATCGTTGTCAGGCAGAGCTTTGATGACTTATGATATTCTTCCGCTGTCTTACATGCAGCGCGAGCGCCTCAGTATGCATCTATAAAAGCACAGCGCGTGAGAGGGATATTTCCCGATTCTTCCCATCCAGCCCCAACGCCACTCAATCCAGCAAGTACAAATCCAACACCATGAACACATTACAGTAGATGCATCGCATCTAAAAGTCCTCCTCGAAGGCAAAGTCGCCGATCATGACAGCAGGTGCCTTGCCAGCCTCCTTGTCAGCAGCATCGTTCTTCTTCTTGTTATGCGACTCCATGACACCAGCCTTTTGGTAGTCACCTACGCGCTTCTCGAAGAAGTTTGTCTTGCCGGCGAGGGAGATGTTCTCCATGAAGTCGAAGGGGTTGGTGGCATTGTAGTACTTGCTGTGGCCGAGTGCGAGGAGTAGACGGTCAGCGACAAACTCGATGTACTGGCACATGAGCTTGGCGTTCATGCCGAGAAGTGCGCAGGGCAGGGCGTCCGATAGGAACTCTTGCTCGATCTCGACGGCCTCGGTGATGATCTGGTGGACGAGGTCGAGTGATGGCTTGTTGCGGAGATGTGCGTGCAGCATGCAGGCAAAGTCGGTGTGCATGCCCTCGTCACGCGAGATGAGCTCATTAGAGAAAGTGAGGCCGGGCATGAGGCCGCGCTTCTTGAGCCAGAAGATGGCAGCGAAGGAGCCGGAGAAGAAGATACCCTCAACAGCTGCGAAGGCGATGAGACGGCAGCCGAAGGTCGATGCGTCGTCGCTGATCCACTTTAGTGCCCAGTTAGCCTTCTTGCGGATGCAGGGGATGTTGTCGATAGCGTTGAAGAGGTATGTGCGTTGGCGAGGTTCGCTGATGTAGGTGTCGATGAGTAGTGAGTAGGTCTCGGAGTGGATGTTCTCCATCATGATCTGGAAGCCGTAGAAGCAGCGAGCCTCAGGTATTTGGACTTCGCCACTGAAGCGCTCGACCAGGTTCTCGTTGAC